TCTGCAAAAAAAATCAATTATCTGGTTAAACATAACTTTCTCAGAATTTTTTGCCAGTTGGAATTAACTTTATTGGTCTTTGTTTGGTCTTAAAGTTGTTTAACTCTATATGTGGTCCCCTTTTTTGATATGGTTGAGTTTTTCCACTTATGTATTGGGCTGCGTAAAGCTGCATTTTAACTATTTCTCACACGCACCAAATATGGCATGACATAAACTAAATTTCGGATTTTTTTTTTCAAAATAACTGTGATCTGAATTGACCTTCAGTGCAATTTAAACATCAATCGCAAGATGTTTTTTAATGATTTAATTTCGCTACAAATTGTCCAACTAAAGCAAATTATGATCAAAAATAATTGACGTTGAATGAGGTGCAAAGCAGAGAAAAAGCCAAGAATTAGTTCTCAACGTGTTTAAAATGAATGATCATTTATCAAAACACTGATCACTAATCACAGAGTCAGGGATAACTGCGCAATTTCAACGTAGAGAATGTTTCTGTTATTCTTCAAAAGTTTGGCTGAATAAGATATTTTCTATGATAAATTTATTTAAAAAGAGCTCTCTGATATATTTTGTGCTGTTAAGCATCTCCTAAGCAATTAATATAAAAGATGAAATCTATGATACAGTGCTGATATAAATTAACCGGACAAAACGCGTTAAACTTGAAATTTAAAACCCGTTTTTCTCAAATTGGGTTGAGTTTAGGTGAAAACTTATGAAGACAAAAGTTTCTTAAAATTTTAGCAGGATTCATATGGTGTAAATTGTTTTACGAATTTCGGGCCCAAAATCTTACCCCAAAAATGGGTCGTTTTGGTTTTTCTTAGTTAATCAAAAATTACGCCAAAAAACACCCAATCGATCACAGACATAATTATATTAAAGTGAGCTCCTTACGTAGCCCAACAAACTTTAAGAAGTATATATTCTCCAAAAAAGTGTGCAAATCGTTTAAAAATTGTTTTTAAATAAATAGTTGATATTTTTTATAGTTAAAAACGACTTTTTTTGCCTATCAAAAAATAAATTAACTTATACAATGTTTTGGAGAATATACCTTTCTTAAAGTTTGTTGAGCTACGTAATGAGCTCACTTTAATATAATTATGTCTGTGATCGACTGGGTATTTTTTGGCGTAATTTTTGATTAACTGAGAAAAGCGACCCATTATTGGGGTAAAATTTTGGGCCCGAATTTCGTAAAACAAATTACACCATAGGAATCCTGCTAAAATTTTAAGAAACTTTTGTCTTCATAAGTTTTCACCTAAACTCAACCCAATTTGAGAAAAACGCGTTTCAAATTTGAAGTTTAGCTCGTTTTGTCCTGTTAATTTAAATCAGCAATGTATAATTTGTGCTTTTAAGCAACCACCTCGGTACTCATATTTATCTATGAGAGCAGGGGCGGATTTAGGGGGGGGAACGGGGGGGGGGGGGGCGGACGCCCCCCCCCCCTCAGGGATTCGAACCCCTGCCAACCCAAAGGGTCCCCCTTTGATACTTTTTAAGAAATCCATTTTTGGCCAACCGACCCTAAAATTTTTCTAAAGGCGCCTTCGGCGCCAATATATACTAATTTTGAGGGGGAGCGCGCGCCAAAAAAACGCGTTTTTTTTTGTCAAAATTTTCCAAAAAGTGCCCAAAAACGGCTTTTTTGACCTGTTTTTTCAAAAAATTGCCTGCGGCGCAGAAAATTTGACCACAACAGGGTCTTTTTACTGCTTTGGGAAAGCTCGGAAAATCAATCTGATCGACTTAAAAAAAAAAAAAGGTCGTCAAAATTTTCGAAAATTTTTTGAAAATCCGCCCCCCCTCGAGAAAATCCTAGATCCGCCCCTGTATGAGAGCCTATGGCGAAAAAAGATTTCATCAAACTTTTGAATTATGAAGGTCACGCAATTTTTTGAAACCTTAACCAAATAAACTAATGTGCTTGTCAAAATTCAAAACTGCTTCAAGAAAGGTCTGCTTAAAATGTTATGTAATTTACATCACGGTTGTCTGACCATAAACTATATTGAACCTTAAGCTAAGAAACTAAAATGGGCGAGTAGAGAAAGCATTCAGTGAGAAGATAGATAAAGAGTTAAACAAGTTATCTTGAGTTATTAGAACACATTAATAGGTTGAGCTTTTCGTATATATGGAGGCAGGGGGAAGGAGGCGACTCCCCCTCCCTAAGTTCTGGTTGTTAAATGTTTTGATATTTTTGTTTATACCATACCTTCAGTGGTGTGCGGAGGGAGGGGCGATTCCCAAATTCTGGGCGCCAAAGAACGATATTTTTGGTCAAAACCACAAAGTGCGCAAAAACCGCATTTTATTCAAAAGAAATTCTGCGGAGTAGACAATCTTGCAAAATAGAGTAACTCTGGGGGTTTTTGGCAGAGTTCGAAGCAGCTGACCTATTAAAAAAGTAGACATAATTTTTTGAAAACTGCCCCGCCAATAAATCTTGCGTCCACTACAGTGCACCTTAGCAATTGTTTCTATTAGTCTGAAATTTAGACGATTTGCAGACATTCAAGTAATTATTACCAATAGTAGAGGCACTTAGCATATTGGCAAGGCGATCATTTAGAGAACGTCAGATAGAGTGTTCAATCCCCTGCCATGAAATTGTGTGAGGACGAGCTCTCATTTCACCTCTAATAAAACTTCACCTTAAGGAAATAAGAAAAACGGACTATGCTTAGACAGGTTAGTTAACCTTTCATAGATCCTCTGCGATTCGCAGAAACCTCAATTATTATATTTCCACTTTTTTGCCTATTATAGCTCTCGTCTAATATGGCTGCACTCTAACTACGAAATTGGAAGCGGCAGTAACAAATAGAAGTTAATTTCAGGTTCGGAAAGGAGTTTTGAATTTTAGTTTTTCCAGCGAATTTGCTGAATTTATGATGTTTTTTAAAAAAATTTGTTAGTTGGCAAAATTTTAAAGCGAAAAGGACGTTTTTTCTGCTTTTTTTAGTTCAGTGAATTCTGTTTTTCTGAATATATGTTGGCTACATTTTGTCTTGTAATATGTTTTCCTTTTTGTGAACCAAGCGCTCTAACGCGCCGCTAACTTGAGACAAATGAACAATATATTCAATTTATTAAAAGTGTAGATTTTGATATAATCACTAATTGCGGCAATTGTACTGGGTTAAACAACTATTGATGTTTTTCTTTAGTTTTGCTCCGAATCAAAACAAAAATAGCCGGTTGATGTAAAAGTATAGTATAATAATTTTTATAATTTCCTTATTGTATATCAAGAGCTTCAACGCCCCTTTTTTATGACATTTAAACAACATCGTCAATTCATTGAAATTGGAGATTTTGGTATGATCACAAATTGCGACAATTGTACTGGGTTAATTAACTACTGATGATTTTCGGCGTTTCAGCCACAAAAGAAAACAAAAAAGCCCGTTTCTGTAAAAATAGCGCAGTAAGTTCCATCAAAAGTGATATCAAAAAAACCGAAATTGACAAAAAAAAAGATTTTAGAAATATCGAACAGAAATTTTGCAGTTTTATGTTTGAATTTCCTGTTGCCCTCCAACTAAGAAAATGTAAAAGGCAGTAACAAATATTGAGTTTAAAGTGGATTTATATTTTAAAGTAAGTCTAAAGTGGAATTAATTTTAAGTTTAAAGTGGGTTTTGTATTTTAGTTTTTCCAGCGTATTTGATGAATTAATGTGATATTTTTTAAACCTGTAAGTTGGAAAATTTCAACAGCTATTAGGCCTACTTATCTGCTTTTTTAGTGCAGAGAATTCTGTTTTTCTGAGATTTTGTTGGCTATGTTTCGTCTGCCAATATGTTTTTCTCTTTCCTTACCAAGCGATTCAACGCGCCTTTATTTTGAGACAACTGAACGATATCGTAAGTTTGTTCAAATCATAGATTTTGGTATGCACACTAATTGTAACAATTTTACTGGATTAAAAAACTACTGATGCGTTTCATCATTCCAGCTCCAAACAAAACAAATAGCCGGTTGTTGTAAAAAAAAGCGCAGAATGGTCAGCCAAAAGTAATTTTAAAAATTGAACATAATTTTTTGTTATTTTCTGTTAGTTTTACATAATTTTCCTGTTATTTTATTTTTCTAGAAGTGGCAATTCAGTTAGGACAAACTATAATTAAATTAAATTTACAATTGGGAGCTCAGGCTTTTAGCAAGTTTTTCATAATTTAGTCCCAAAAACCAAAAAATAATTCTTGACTTAATTTTCCAATTTTTTTCTTGAATTTTTTTAAGAATCCAAATCAAGATTAAAAGATTTTACTATGGGGACCAGTTGAGCAGTTTCTCCCCCCCTTCCCCCCTCCCCCGTAATGAGCATTTCTGTTATGTACCCCCATGTAAAATTTATAAAATGCCACAGAAGACGTCATCAAACGCAAGCAGATGTACGCGATCAATTGACCGATTGAATTTTCTTTTGAGTCGAGAAAAATTTTTGGAAAAAAATTCAAAATAAGAAAATTATTTATGAGAATTTCGGTTTGGGCGACCATTACCTCGAGGAAGTTAAGTTACCAGGGTTGATGCTCTTCACTTGTAGCTGCATACCGAGAATTTTTCTAAGCAGCACCATTATAATGTACCCAACAGGGTTTTTCTCATTTGAAACCGAAAAAAGTCTGCTTAATATGCATCAGTTTATGTGAATTTTTTTTATTCTGAAAGTGTTTTGTGATTTGATATATTAATTTTTGATGTTCCATATTCATCGGAGAATCCTGGCTCACAATTTCATATCATTTAAATTAATTTCAAATGGTTATAAAGATATCTCAAGTGCCTGTTGAGTTATCCTCCCCCCTCACGATAATGGGGGGTAGGGGGAGAGATTGATCAATTGATCCTACTATGATACCACTTTTGAACATGTACGAACTTTGACTTTCCCTGAGATCGTCGAATTTGGCTGAAGAAAACTACCCGAATGCAGTGGTCGGAACAAAAAAAGAACAAGTAAGCGATTAAATTGAATTTCAAGGGTTATGGTTATTAATAAGCAATATCGAGCTAATTTATAATTTGTGATTAAGCTTGATTTGAGAAGGCAGTTTGGTAAAGAATTAGCTCTGTCTTTAAATAGATATGGGGATAATTGCTGGCTATCACTTTCTATTGAACTTATTGATCACTAAATTTTGCCAAAGCAATAATGAATGAGTGCTACTTAGGATGAGTGACTAGAAAAGTTTTCAAAACAGATCTTCAATTTGTCTTGGTATCCCAAAAATTATGCATTCAATTTTTCAAATGAAGATCTGTCATATATTTGATTGTGACATGTGATGGATATGACATAAGAATCATAATACAGGATATAGTATAACTTCAGTATTTGCGGTTTTGTTTTTTGATGATACTGGTGTCCTAGGTGAACAAACGTCCTAGGTGTTGATCTGCAAGTTCAGTTTTTATTATTCTAGAATATTCTAGAGAAGAGTGGATGACTCATTTGCATCTTCTGATCCCAAAGGAGAAACCACCTCTTCTACTTTGATCACACTTCGTTCACTCCTCTTCACACCTTCTCCTACAAATCCTCCCTTTCCTCCTTTGTCTTGCATTTTTATGCCCTGACCTGTCTTCGCCCCTGCTCCAGTGGGTTGGGCAGCCTTGTTGTTCTTGGCCAGTTTGGCTGCAACTTTCTTAGCCGGTGGTGCCATGTACTCCATAATGATCTTCTTAGATCCACTTTCTTTGCGGAACCTAAACAACTCATCTGTTCTTCCCTTTCTGGCTAAGTTCCATAAAACATTTTTTGAATTAATTTTCTCTTCCAGCGGAGCTAAAGTAACAAATTTGAGCTCTTATAATATGAGAGGCGCAACAAAAAAGATTATTAAGAACACTTCTCCACGTTTAACTGTTGAATTTTGAAATTAGTAACGCTCACTTCGCATCAGTGACAGAGTGACTCAGCAGTCCCCCATCTTTGGACCCATCTTCAGAGGAACCAGCGCCCCCACCTGAACCCGGCGAATGTTTGTTCTCCAACACTTCCACATGAATCGTGTGTTTTGAAGAGTTGATCATACACTCTATTGGAGGCTTAGTCACCGTGAACCTAAATCAGTGACTGGCGGTGACCGATGGCAAAAAGATTAAAAATGAAAGATACCAAATGTACTCTTGATATGAACCTTTGCAAAAGAATTTTGCCTTTGCAAAAGACTTATGTTTATTGCTTCTCTGAAAAAGTAATAAATAGTATGCCAAAAATCACACAGACAAAAAACATCCCCATAAATCAGAAAAACATCAGCCATTGCATTGTTCTACCAGAAAACATGATTTCACGGAGTTTTTGTTCTTTTTATTGTAAAATAAATTTTAGTTTCCACAAAAAAATAATATTAAATTCAGCAACCTATTTCCAATTTATTCATTTCTATTTGTTGGGATAAAAACCTTTTGCGAGATAGCATTGGCTTGTTTTGCTCAATTTGTTTTGGATCTAATTTGAACGGGGCCTACGAAATTAGACGATAAGCAAATTAAACGGATACGCAAAAACGAAATTATTTACACATCTGGCATTTTAGACTAAAAAGCTATGAAAAGGGAAGGGCCAACAAAATTTTGAGTCAAGTTTCGAAAATACAAAAAGAACATAAAATGTCAATACCTATCAAAACAATTAGTTTAAATGAACAAAAAATGTCAAATCCGAATACTACAAGAGAATTTTGAATTGAATAAATTATGCATGATTGACTTAAAAAATTTTTGGCTGCCGAAATTTACCTGTTGTCTACAAACAAATATTTTTTTCTCGCGTAATTTGTCTGCAAACAATTTTAATCTCTCTCACTTTCGTCTATTTTCTCACAATTGCAGTTTTACAAAATCGTCTATATTCCTTATAACTACCTCCGTCTAATTTGCTTATCGTCTAATTTCTCAACCCCCAATTTGAACACGTGAAGAGGATAAAAATTTAAGCAGGATGTCATCATACCTGAGGGGTTCGTCGTCCTCCCCGTACCCACTATTGGTTGGGTCTGCATTCGAGTATGATGTGTTGTGGTGGTGTACTGCATTGGTTCCCTGTACTTTCCTCTGTTGCACTTTGGCGTTTAGGCGCAGTGCTCCCAGCAGTTCCGGCACTCTGTTCTCGTCCTTGTTGTTCTCCAGAGTGATGGCCACGTCATAGTTGTCAGTTGTGCGCAAAACAACCAGCTGATCCTCCCCGTCTAATATTCACACAAACCCTCTTTTAAGGACCGCTCTAGACAGTATTTTGTATTTTTAAAATCTTAGTTTCGTCGCAAAATCTGGAAGGCCGAAGAGTTTCAAAATCAGAGGCCGCCCATCTCGCCTGGAAAAGAGAAAGAGGCTCAACTCTTGCAATAAAAAATGAAAATAATCAAAATTAGAGCCTTTTGCAACCTTAATTGTCATTTCTAACGTTCACAACTGCTTAAATATAGATTCAAATCTTAAACTCATCATTTTATTATCTCGCTTATCGAGTGCATATTACCAAGATCCCAAATAGACCGGCTCATAAATTAATTAACGTGAAGTTATAGTGGTCAAGTGGTTCCAACTAATAAGGGTTCATATAGTTGTCCTCTGATTTTGTATTTACCTGTGACAACTACTTCACATATCTCGTCCAGCTCGATGGCCTTGAGGAGTTTGAAGTCTCTCCTGGGGTCCAGTTTGTACACAGTGTGCTCCGTGAACACAATCGCCCTCTCCACTGTCTTGCCCCTGGTGCTCATCTTGCGGATGAAGGAGGAGAAGATGAGGGCCCCAGAGTGGTTCCTAAACTCAAGACACGACAACTATGTTACAAGAAAATCATTCAAATAATTCACAGTTCTGAAAGGGAGCAACGAGCAATATAGTCACGTTTAAAAAATGAAAATCACTTAGGTTCACCAGGACCTGCTTTTTAAACGTATTTATGCTGGTAAGTTTCTTAATATATTGCTACATATAAATTGTTTTCGTAATTTCGAGCGGGTGCTGTTTTATGAACAACATTATCTTGGTACAATCTCGTCCGACGAGGGTACCTTTTAGTTTTTACCCTTGCGATAAGCAAGGGTATTGCTATCGGGTACCAAAATTTCCCCCCGTAAATAACTTTGTTCACAGGACTCATCTGCACTTCTGAACTTATCTCTAGTGGTACCTTGTTTCATCATTTAAATTCAAATTTCTTAGGATAAACCATTCCTGGAGGTAACGAGAACTCCTGGGGCGGCAAAAGTCCTGGGTTCGAATCTCACCAGAACCTGCTTTTTTAACGGAGAAACAGAAATTGTCGGCCAATCAGTTGTCTGCTATCTTTTGCCGGCTTAGTTGCCACATTTTGGAATGGTTTTCTTGCTGCGCGCATCTTTTGCATTCTATTGTTTACGGGCATAACTTTTTTCATTCATTTTGATAGATCTAGTTGTGTCGCAATGATGCGAATCTCAGCTTCGCCTCTGCCTCATATTATTTTTATGCTGACTTGCAGGCGTGGATCTAGGAATTTCTCGAGGGGGGGGGGCGGATTTTCCAAAAAAAAAAAATTGAAAATTTTGTCGACCTTTTTTTAGGTCGACCAAATTGATTTTCTGACGTCTCCCAAATCACTATAAAGACCGTAATTTTACCATATTTTCTGCACCGCAGGCAAAATTTTGAAAAAAAAGGCCAAAAAAAAGCCGGTTGAAAAAAGGCCAAAAAAGGCCATTTTGAAAAAAGGCCAAAAAAATGGATATCTCAAAATAGCACAAAGGGGGACCCTTTGAGTCGGCACGGGGTCGAATCCCTGAGAAAGGCGTCCATCCCCCTCCTCCCCCCCCCCCCCCCCCAAATCAGCTTCTGCTGACTTGTGCATGATGTTGTTGACTGAGGCGACGAATACAACTGCTCGTGAGTTCTCTTGCGTGTCTGCCAGGTAGTTGGCCTGCCATCGTCTGTTCAGTCCCAGGTCCCTCTTGTTGCCCACCACATCCAGGGCAGCTATCTTACACTTGATCTCAGGCCACTCTTCAATTGTTATACTCTTCAGACGTTGTCTCAGACGCCATCTGCAAAAAGCAGTTATTGAGAATTATTCATTGATAAAGTTTTCATATTTATTTTAACATTTTTGATGTGCTAGTTTGGCATTTTTTTGAGCAAAACAAAAAAGTTATGAAGGCTCCACTGAAGCAGAATTGCAGCGAAGCCTCAAATGCTTTGCGAAAAAGGACAAATACAGAAGCGAAGACTTAATATATCGCAATAAATACTCGTTATAACCCAGAAAATCAATTCGTACAACGTTTGAACATAGTCAACAAACAGTACGAAAACTGGCAATGAGAAACTCAGGTAAACCGAAAAAACGACTAATTGTTTTTGCAGCATTTTCAAAGAAAAACAAGGACAGCCGATCGCTGTGCCAATAGCACAGAATGTTCCGACCATACTCTTAACAACTACCAAAAAAAATCTTTTTTCAAAAAATTTCATTTTTTTTGTGCGTGGTGTGATGAAAGCATCTGATAGATAGAAACAATTTAGGCATTTACAATGTTTATATAAAAAAGGAGAAAAGTTCTTTCGAAAATTGATTAATAACAAAAACTTTTAAAAAATTTACGCAGAAAATTTTAGAATTTTTGAACTTTTTTATTCCCAAGATGACGCTTAAAAACTTTGAAAACTGATTGTACTAGCTTCTTCAGGTCTTTTTCAGGAAATATACCACTAATTCCTTCCTCGATTGCGGCTATCTTTTTATAAAAATCCTCGCTTTACTCGCTCGAAATAAAACGAAAAATCAAAAATTTCAAATCAGTTTTTCTCTATACTGAGAAAATTTTTTGAAACTTTTGTGAAAACGTTCAAATCACAAACAAAAGGGATTCAGTTTGGTATATCAATCAACCCATTCTAATGATTATTTTGGTACCTGATTTTGCATGGAAAACAAAAAGAAAAAATCTAAAACACCCGAATACAAAGTTCCTCCACATTTTTCAAATGGTCGGAACAAAAAATAATAATAAAGTATTTCCGAATACAAAATTCATCTCAATGATCAATGGTCGGAACAAAAGTATGGCGTTCAAGTTCTTTAGTTTCCAAGAATCTTTTGTGAATGAAAATTTTTTTAACCCGATTTGAGAAAACTGATCAGTAGTGGATTCATCCATTTTGCTGGAAAATTTTATAAATAAAACCCAACTTTGAAACTTAATTCATTCACGTTACTTTTCTCTTTTTGCCTTTTTGTTATTCAAGAACATAACTTGCCTTCCTTTTAGCAACCTAGATTGAACTGAACTTAAAAAAATCAAAAGTCAAACTGGTAAAATCTAATTTGAGAGTAAAAAAAATCAATTTTTTCCTGAAAAAAACCTACTTGACTTATTTACGTATCTTTATTATGTTCATTGACAGTTATAAAACAGACATATTTTGAGAATAAGGGATCAACGGGAATTTTTTCTTCCGCTGTGAAGTTTTAAAATTGAGAGCCAATTTTGAAACTAAAATTCAATGAAACCATCTGCGCCATTTGTTCTTTCGTAACTGGAGAGCGTAATTTGCCTTCCTTTAGCAAATGAATTTCATTCACAAATCTAACCGCAAAAATTAAATTTGAGCGTGAATAACTAAAAATTGTTCCGAATAAGCAAAAAACCACCCTTATGAGGGTAAACTATGTTCTCATCGGGCACAATGATTTGAGTGTGTATTTCTGCGGAATCCGGAGACAAGCCTTCGAGCTTGGTAAAACATGCTATGGTATTTCTGCTTAAGTTTCTGAGAATTTATCCAACGAAACCTGAATCTAAATCAGTCAGGACAAAAAAGGTTGTTTGCGTTTTGGTTAGAAATCACATATAATGGCTCAGACTGTTTAAAATCCTTTCGCTGTGCCCTGAATATATGCCGTAGAAAAATGAATATATGCCGTACTAGTATGAGGGGTAAAACAAAGGCCAAAAACGGTTATGTTTTTTTGAAAAAGTGGTGAACTAGATATAGCACAGGTTGATTGACCAAAGCCCAAAAAATGGCTCAAAAATCATGCATTTAGGACGTTTAATCATGGCCGATAAAGAACCTAACGGGAAAATGACGCCGTAAGAAAAACTGTTTATCATAAAAATAACCTTTATAAGGCATTTTTTGCAAGTGCATGTAGATTTTCATCAGAACAAGGTGCAGATTTATGCTTTTCAGCCATAAGGAGAATGTTGGACACTCGAGCTACCTTTTAAACGCTTTAACCACTCAAAGATTCCCCCAATTTGATAACACTTGATGGCATTTCTTTGTTGGGTGAACCTTAAATTTTTCTAAGAGGCGCCCTTGGTTCGAAAATGCTCAAAAACTGCGCAGAAAATGGCTTTTAGAGCTAGTATTCAAGAGATCTATGGAATGGATATCAATTTATTCGACATTATAAAAAATCTCCGTTTGACCAAGTTGGGGCTTACCTGCGGAAGGTGTTGTGTAGTTTGACATGGAATTTGCGGAGAATGAAGGGTGCCTCGGGCCAGTCAAGACTCTTGCCGAAATCCTGCATTTCCCGCACTCCGCTGAAGCGCCTGATTAAGGTCAGCAGGTAAATCTTGAACTTCCAGGCGCGAAACTTACGCACAATTTTGAACATGGCGTAGAAGATCTTGTAGCGCTGTCTCGCTATCGCCCCTCGCCACATCTTCTGCAAGAACTTGATCACAGCTGGTAGCATTGTCGCCCGCATATGTTCCAGTTGGGCTAAAATTACATTTAGCAATCATACTGAATGCAGTCAAGTAAGTACAGCGCGGAAAACAAGAGTAACATTTTACTATCTCTAGGTTTTTTGAAACGCACGAAATCATCTTTAGCGCACCTTTTTACTCATTACCTATTTGCAGATTTAAAAGGAGGATGCAATTTTGACCCACCTAAAATTTTTCTAACGAAGCATTTGGCGCCATCATAAATCTCTTTAAATCCTAGATCCGCACCTGCTAGATCAAATCTTTTTTATTTTTTATTAAACAATTTAAAATGCCTAGAAGTTTAGAAAATGGATCCAATTTTGACGAAAAAAATTGTGTATTGCGCATTGTTGGACGTTATGAATTATCTAAGATGGGTAATAACTTGGAGCAATTCAGTGAGGTAGTTTAGGTTCAAGGTGTGTATCTAGAAATTTTTCAGTAAGGGAAGCGTCCGTAGCCCCCAAATTTGCTAACGGCACTTACCGAGTGTTTCTATAGACTGCACGTGTATCATTCTTTTTCCCAGCTCACAAGTGTCCTGTAGACCGAGCATGTAAAGCATGAGCAGAATTCCGTGCAGGTCGCTCTTGCCGTTGAATGCAGGCCACGTGTACTGCGTGAGCATCTTGTACCTGCGCAGGAAGCTAGAGTAGCCCATGCTGAGACAGTAGCCCTTTTGAGACACCTGAAAGGATCAACGAAACAATTCCACGCCATTATCAACATTTAAGACCAATTATTCACTATTCCCCGTCAAAAAGTTTTCCCCGTCAAAAAGTTCCTACGAGCGCCACTGAATACAATGTTTAACTCTCTTTTCTTAAAAATCAGATATTGTCATACTGGACATTGGTTTTGCTTTTAGGATAAAGTCATAACGTTTTTGCCTAATTTAAACTCGTTCATCCGGTAAAGTTTTTCTCCAGACTACAATGACAACTAAACAATTTGTACAAATGGACTGCCATTTAAATAATTGTAAAAAAGCCATTGTAATGTTGTGCGTCAAGATGAAAATTTCAGATGGAGACTGAGTAAATTAAGGTAATGGCTCATGGGCTCTTTTCCACTTCCCCATATTTGAAATTCAATTTGAAACGCATTTTAACATTGTCATATGAGCCATTCCCCGGATGGCACAGCAGAACCTTCCAGTGCACGCTGTAAATGACGTTAAGCGTCTTAATGTTGAATTCTACACTTGAATTATACACTTCAAAGTTCCAAATTTTCTAGTAGAACAAGAAAATTTCTGCGAAATGCTGAAGTCGACCATTTTGACGATGACAACGTGTCAAACAACAACAGCCGGATACGACATAAAAGCAGTAGTGCAAAAAGAATAGATATTTGTTTTGAAACGAAAATACAGCCGAAGTCTCTTATCGCGACACGCAGACACGATAAGGAGCTTACTCGTGAAAGAAAGTCGAACCGAAAGGTCCAGTGGGATAAAAAGGACAGCTCCGAACCCTCCTGAGCAAAAAGAATTAAGAGATAACGACGTTATTTCTGGGAGAAGTTGGTGCCCAGAGACTATTTTAACGAACATTAACCTCTTGCTAGCTACTGTGATGCCCTGTGCGCATTTAATTTAATTCAATATTGATTTGTTATCTCATAGCATGATTAGTTAGGCGCGAGGAAAGTGTCCATCTATGTCTAACGGATCTAATATATAACTGTCACTAAAAATATTTTTAATTTTGGTTTCTTGTCCTATTATTAGTAATAATCACGTTGTCTGGGGATCCAAGATCCAGCTATGAGGTTATTTTTGCATGTAAACGGAAGCTGATTAAAATTCGTTTGGCTGATGGCCTAAAAGCGGTAACAAGATGGTTAGCTTTTTTTAAGCAGATCAGAAAATCAACTGGCTAGGTCGAGACGTTAAAGCGAGTAGAATTAAGGTAACTGACGTCAGCCAGTCGTCACTAGGGAGTTTTTCTACACTCCGTCACTGTGTTATTTCTGGGCGAAAATTACAATAATGCAATGAAGCTTGACATGGTGAATCAACAAACTTTTGTGAACAGATTTATTCTTTTCACGTGACATCGTAGCTTCACGCATTTAGACGTAATGACACGTAAAATTATGGGTACAATTATTTTGAAATTTGGGGAGGGGTTGGAAAAGAGCCGGCTCAGGTAGCTGAAGGCAAAGATATGGTCAGCACTTTTTTTGGCTTTCTGTTGAGGTAACTTCAAGTTGAGTCAGTGTATCAAAGAGTCCACAATAAAAAATCTTTCCATTGTCGTCATTTTTGTAATGTTATGGGCATATGAAAACAGCTATCTCAGATTAAGGCTTTTTCCTTTTCCCCCAGCCTCACATAAGCATGATTTTTACGGCGTGACGAGGGATTTTACAAGACTAAGTATCGGGCCCAAATATGCTCACCATGGCCTAATTAGTCCACATGCCAATATTTGTACTAATCGGACAATGTAAACAGAAAATATAGTTATAAAAATCTGCAGGTGGGTGAAGGAAAAGAGCTTGGATTAGTTATAACACGCTTTCTTTTTCTTCTAAAGGCTGAACAAGAATGCAGCCAAGTGATCCTGCCAATAAATCATTTCAGAAAGATACGAGGGCAAGCAAATTGCCTCAACTTATGAATCACTGGAGGCATACCGGATCACTTAGTACTCGACGCAGTGGTTGATGGGAGGATTTAAAACAACCTAGTAATTTTTCATAAGACTCTTTGCAGGGGTCATTTCTCTCTTAAAAATATACCTCACCTATTTAAGGGCTAAGAATTTAATCTACTAAAAATCTGATTATGCTAACATGCAGTTTCTGCATGAAAAGTTGTTTTTGATGCTTATGCGCAAAAACTGGAAAACTTCTGAGCTTTTCCGAGTCATGGAAAAAACTGGACGAACACCTTTTTAAATCTGTTACTGGTGTTAGCAACCATAAAATTTATTGAAGTCGATCAAAAAACATACATTTCAAAATAGCTCATAGTTCAAATCGCAAGAAGGGTTCTTGAAGAGTACCTGGGTAAGGGGGGACACATTTAGAGCTCTGAGAGTCATGGTGAGGAACTTGGAGTTGGTGCTCAGATCCACCGCGCTTCCTGATCCAGTGCCTCCGTTGAGTTGCTTCTCCTGACTGGCTCTGCCGCTACGAGTGGGGTAGATTGAAAACATGAAGAAGGCCTGCACTCGGTGACTACAGCACAAGACCATCAAGTACTGCGCATACTTCTGCACTGTTGTCATGACGGTGTCTCCTTTCTGCTGTACTTTTGCAGCATTTTGGTACAGAACCTTCACAAAAATGATACTTTCCGGATAAAATCAAACTAACTCTCTTCGCATGCCTTTGCGACAAGCAAAGACTTTCCTATGAAGGTTTTGATTAGAAATAAAGAAAAACAAACCAGGAAGTTCCAAAAAAAAAAAATTAAGTTTTCAAGTTTGCGTTTTGGTTTTTTATATTAATAAAAAACTTTAACACAGGCCTGTACCGGAGAAAAAACCGGTTATATTTTTTTCAGTCAAAAATTTTCACAGAAACTTAAGAAAAATTGCAATACAAAAAACCACTGAAAAATTAAACTTTAAGCAGATTTGAATAAAAGTTACAAAAAAGTTGCAAAACCTATATGAAGAAATTCTTTCAACATACGAGGATTAAACACCCATCCTACTCATGAGTCAATCTTTTTACTATTAATTTCACTATCTTGAATTAGTCAACAAGAGGCTTTTTTACTATGCGCAAAGCAAAGTTGATTTTTGTAACTCAAGGCCATTTTTTGCATCTAAGGCGAAAGCCGACAAAAATGAGCAACAAGAAAAGTTTTGTCACTCGGAAAATCTTACATTTACAAAAAAAAAACTAGAATTGGTATAAAAAACGAGTAGTTGCAAAATAGACTGTTATTGAATTACTAATTATTAATGAAGAATATCCAAACTGACTTTTAAAATTCTTTTCAGATGATTTTCAACAATTATAACGAAGCCTAATAAAAAACTAGCGCTATCAGAGTTTTACTTACGCTTTGCAAGCAATCAAGTTGATTAGGTTCACTTGATTGTAACGTAGCAGCAGAATTTGAGACATAGAGAAATTTAACGGAGGATAATATCAACATACCGATTCCCAACATCGGGTTGACGGCGCAACTTCTTTTTTTGCCTGTTTCAATTGATATGAGCAAAATGAGTATATACTTGATCATGTCAGCATGCAATTACTTTTTTCAATGAAATTAGAATTTAGTTAACTCGTAGTCGGTTTATAGGAGTACTTTACACATTGGACTGAGGCAGTCTGGTCAAATCTTATGTCAACCAGATATCGACTTATGTTGCAAAAGGAATAGCGACCTACTATTGGGAGATGCTCACTGCAACATAACGCATCGAAACTGCATTTACCCATGATTTCGATATTAAATCACGCACGTATGAGAGTTTTTTTGAAGAAAAACAATCAATAAGGCATCAAAAAACAGGAAGTGACAACAAGGTGAGTATTCATAAAGTTATTCAGGAATATATTGGATAACACTAGTGCGAAGCTGCTTTTTCAAGCACCAGTGACCAAAAGCCAAGTGACCAAAAGTCCGCTTCGCATTACTTGCGATAAAAATTTTAAAAAATATATAAGTCCAATAAAGAAAAATGTATTATAAAACTAGATCTACTAAAAAATTTCTGGTCTCGTTAAAGTTTCTTTCTAGGTAAACATTCCAAGCAAAACATTGCCCTATTAAATTAGCAACGGAACATTAACGATCCCCCTGAAACTACAATGAAAAACAATTCCAACTATCATGAAACCTGTTTACAGCAAAATAAAAATCCGTGATGTGGCAACTAAGCCGACACAACTTGAGCAGACAAACGAAATCCGGAAAATCAATTCAACCAATAAAATTTCAGTTTCATGTAAACTGAAAAATAACAAGATCCGGTCCTGACTCGAACCCAGGACCTTAGGGTACAAAAGCGACAACGTTATCTTATCTCTAGGCCACGTGGGAACAAGCATGAAAGTTGTTAAGGAACCGAGAAACAATTAACTAAAAAGTAATGCTGAAAAAAAAATTTTTTTTTTTGGAAAAAAAATTAAAAATTCAATTTCAGGAGAACAGTCCGTGACACAAATATCAGCACTAAATACGCTTTAGTTATTTTTTGAGTGGCCATTAAACTGACAATAATTTAGTAGACGACTGTTGAGCCGAAAACAGAAAAAAAAGCCAAAAACATTGAGGGATTAAGTTTTAATACTTTGAACTTTTGTCCCACAGCCGAACTCAATCATTTAAACATAACCAAATGTTACCCTTCAAACGACACAAAATAAGTGGACTAAGTGGACTAAGCCGATTTGTTTATCAAGATAAACAAAAACCATGAAGGCCGAATGGAACTCTCAATTAAAAAAGAGCTAAAAAGAGGAAAATACACGAAGCCAGGGCCAATAATTTTAATAATTACAGAATAAGATTGCTTGTCTGCTTATGTTTTGTCGGCTTAGTTGACAATTTACAAATTTTTTGTGGTGCAAGCTTTTTCTCCTGTGATTGCAAATAAGTTTGAACGTATTTGCAACCACAGGGGAAAAAGCTTGCACCATAAAAAATTTGCAAATTGTCAACTAAGGCGACAAAACAAGCAGACAAACGAAAGTTGAAGTTGATAATTTACAAATTTTTGTGGTGCAACTTTGCCCCCCTGTGATTGCAAATGTGTTTGATCTTATTCTGCAATCACAGGGAAAAAAACTTGCACCACAAAAAATTTGTAAATTGTCGTCTACGCCGACAAAACATAAGCAGACAAGCAATAGACCGACCATGCAAATTTTCCCCGAAAAAAATTTCAGATTCATTCAAGCTAAAAAAAAATTAAGACCCGACCAGGGCTCAAACCCCGACCTTTGGATGCCAAGAGACCTACAGTACCTCCAGAATGACACTGGAAATTATAAAACTTCACAGCAAGCAAGAAAATAAACCAAGTACGAAAATCAAAGAAAAGTAAGGAAAACTGTTTACGGGAAAAAAAAAGTCTAGTTCCTGATTACAAAACACTTGCTACCGCTAGTGAAAACAAGTAAAATAATAAAAAAGAAGAGAAAAAACAAGAACAATATTTCCAGGCCCCAGTCTCCCGCACACATATAGAATGCCCTACACTACTGTGCTGGAGACGCTGATAGAAACACTAGCCCTTGATTTAAAGAACAATACATGCTATTAAACTGCCAATACTACACAGTAAAAGTGTTTATGAAGTGAACATTTTTTTACGCAACTGGGTTGGATAAAAATGGACTCGTAAAATATAAAAATGCTCGCAAGCTCGTTTTGGTAACTGCATGTGATAGCGTTTTGGTAAATGCATGTAAATAATGTGATGCATTAAAAAGTGACCTTTATTTCAAATGTCGAATTTACTCGAGCACTTTCAACCAGTCAGTAAGTATCGGCCTTTTGGCCACCCACCGCTTGAGGCACCTTCAAAAGTTCTTGCTTATTTTTCTACAATTTTTAATGTGAAAATAGATATATACATATATACCAGGTTTTTTTTTTTGGGGGGGGAGGGGGTCGGACGCCTCCATCCTCAGGGATTCGACCCCCTGCCGACCCAAAGGGTCGCCACTTTGTACTATTTCGAGATATCCATTTTTGGCCGACTGACCTTAAAAATCTATCTTCTAAAGGCGCCTTTGGCGTCAATCTATACTAATTTAAAAGGGGGAGCGCGCGCCGAAAAAAACGCGATTTTACGGTCAGTCAATGGAGAACCAACAAGACATAGACATCGAGATAAGCAAAGACATCAATTAAAATTTCGAAAAAAAAGCTAGCAATGATTGTTCTTCTACCAAGGATAATTCTTCAGCGTTTTTAAGAGGTAAAGTACTTTACACTCAGGGCCGGCTTAGTTGACAAATTTTGGAATGGTTTTCGTGCTGCACGCATCTTTTGCATTCTATTGTTTGCAGGCATAACTTTTTTCATTCATTTTGAATAGATCTAGTTGTGTCGCAATGATGCGAATCTCAGCTTCGCATCTGCCTCATATTATTTTTATGCTGACTTGCAGGCGTGGATCTAGGAATTTCTCGAGGGGGGGGGATTTTTCCCAAAAAAATTTGAAAATTTTGTCGACCTTTTTTTCAAAATTTTATTAGGCAATTTTTGAAAAACTAAGTATTTTTCAAAAAATGCATTTTTCAAAAAAAATGTCAAGGCATTTTTTGAAAAATTTCGACCGTAAAATCGCGTTTTTTTCGGAGCGCGCGCTCCCCCCTCAAAATTAGTATATATTGGCGCCAAAGGCGCCTTTAGAAAAATTTTAGTGTCGGTCGGCCAAAAAATGGATTTCTTAGAAAGTATCAAAGGGGGGTGAATTTACACTGATTAATCGGTTTTCCAAATTTGGAATATGTTATGTACAAATAAAAGCAAAAATTCTTTTCATTCCGGGTTGATAGAATTGATTAACTGAGCTCTCTAGGCAAGAACGTATTTTGAGGGGCTTTCTTGAAAGAACAAATATTTTTGAATATCAAAAGCAGGTCGTCAGGGGCCCGAAACCTTAAAATAAAGAAGCCCCACTCCTGTTTTTTGAGTTCAGCTTTGATCTATTCGAGTTTAACATTTCACAGGGAAAAAATTCACCTGTGCTCCATCTTCATCTTTCTCCAGTGGGCTTTTGGCCAACTCGTTTGTGATGCCTCCCAACATGTCGGTGACTTTTGCTTCACTTTGAGAGGAGAGACTGTTGAACGAGTTGAGGATCTCTTCCGCATTGTACATGCACTCTCCAAACACATGGGAAACAGTAAACTGGTTTCCAGCGCGGCTGAAGATGATTTGTCAGCTTCAGGTGTTGATGAGTTGGCCCACTTGCTGCTGGTTATTATTGTTAGTATTGTTGCTGTTATTTCCAGTTGGCCCTCCTTTTCTTTTTCAAGTGTTCCGATCCTGAGCAACTGTCCATGATTAGTTTAACCATATTAGCTCCAGTGAGTTGTTCCTCGGCACTCTATAAACACACCATTTAATTCTAACGTTTTTGGGGGCAAGTGGGTAGTGAAAAGGCGCTATTATATGCTCTAAGTGTTCCATATTAATAGCCTAACAAGGTATCAAAGTAACATCAAGGCTTATCATGACCTGCCTATCACTTGTTGTTGGGTTTCAGAAGCACAGAGCATTAAAGCAACATCAAGGCATATCTTTTCCAGCCTATCACTAGCTGTTGGGTTCATCTAGCATAAGGCACCATAACATCGTCGAGTAAAAATCAGTAGTGCGATAACAATACCTTGAGTCGTTGTGCTTGGAATAGATCCATGATACTGTTCTTCGGAGGCTTTTGTTTGCTGTCGCTGGTTTGAGTGATATTGCTCTTGTTAAGATTATGACCGAAGTCGGTTGATGTTGTTGTTGCTGTTGTGATGTTTTGCCTTTGTTCAGATGTGATCCCGTGGTGCTAGGCTCTTTAGCACCAGCTGCGGCCGTATTATCAGTTGTGAGGTTCGAGGGAGACAACCCCTACTTAGTCCCCCGACCAGTCGTAGTTCTATCTTTTGGGGCAATTGAAGTTTACAGGGGTCCACTGCAGTCCCTCCTCCATGTAGAGGGCCTGTTTCTGCAGTAGAAGCACCTCGTTCATCACCCCGACAAATAGATCTTGCAGGAAATTACTCTGCAGGGCACCGACCGACTCGCTCTGTCGGGTGAATCCGACCGGTGCCTCGACTAGAGAAACTGTATAAAGACGTCCGTAGTCCAGTTTGCTCTGCCTCACCTGAGAAAAAAAATACAAACATATTTCGCAATATGAACAAGATTGCTCGTATCAGGGCGAAGTCCTGAAAGTTTCGACTGCGTTTTAAGGTATATGGAGCAGTAATAGCAATGAAAAAATTAAAACTAATAAAAATGAAACGATTTTTTTTTAATTGAGATTTTTTTGTGAAAATCATCCCCCATTACGCCAGATAAAGTACAAAGTTATAAATTTTGCTCCTATTAACAAATCAATTATGGCATATAATCTTCCCTCAACCAATTTGGAGCGATTTCTAAGACGGATTAAATCCCCGCTTACGCGTTAATAGCGCGAATTATATCGCGCGTTAATTGTCCCTAAATGGCCAAAATGGCAATTTTTAAATCCCTCTAACCTTACAAAAACGATAACAGGTAAAATATCTATTCAAATTTAAGCTTAGGACACCAATAGCTTTCAAACGATGTAAAAAAAATTCCGTCAAAAATGGCTAATTAATAAGTCGAAATTTGTCTGAAGAAAAAAACCCACCCCGAGCACAAAAATTCCGTTACTTTCGTTACGAAAGTCGAAACAATAATCTAACTGCCAGTCAATAGGTCATAAAATCTAGCTTAAACATCCAGTCATTAGGGCAATGGTATTCTATCTCAAAATTTTGAAGAATACGACCAAATGACCAAATATTGCATCGAAGTTGAAACCTATATTTTCCAGAATACTAATTTTTCTATAACAAGCACAAATTATAGCTAAAATATGGCCAGAATCTCTGAAAATACCTGAAAACTTGGAAAAAAAACTTTTCAAGGTTTTCCAGATACTAAATAATTGAATGTACATTATTGTAATAGCGGCCTTTTTCTTTGCATATAGTTATCAATCTACCAACTTAAGGACATATATATTTAAATTTATACATACATACATACATACACACAATATATATATAGACTTTTGTCTTCTTCACTTTTTGTCTAATCTTAACCCAATTTGAGAAAAACGCGTTTGA